TTCCATATTAACTAATAAAGATTTACAGCGTATAAGCAATTTACAAACAAAAAAAAAAAAAAAAAAAAAAAAAAAAAAAAAAAAAAATAAAGATTTATTTTATTTATTTTTCAACATGTAATAATTTATTCGCATATTGGATTTTTAATCAAGCTTGGATTTATTAGTAATACTATCAATCTATTTCTAAAATGTGACAAATTCTTTTTTGCATACAATATCTTTTGAAAACATAAAAATGAAGCATGCATTATACAGTACTATAAAGAAATTTTTTTTGATATATTTTTATTTGTTATGTAATATAATTCAATATCAATATTGTTGATAATTAAATTTTATTATTCGAACCCAGTTTATTTTCCGACGGTCTCTAGTTGCCATCAGAGAACGAATTGAAACTTATATATAAAAGGTAGTTTCATGAATTTTGGCAAAATTAAAGCTTAATTTGGATAGAACTCAATAACTGAGTCATGATTTAATAGATATAAAAATTACATGAATTAATTCTACATTTACTAGATTAATAAATTACATTTACAAATTTACCATCAAAAGATCATGATGCGATAGAGTAAATTATGCGATGGGATCGAGGTCAATTATGCGATAGATGCAAATTATACAAATTATGCAGCTCTCGGAATATTTATATAAAATTGTGATATTCATATATAGGAGGTTTGCTAGAAAAATAGAGTTCTGAGGTCCCTTCAATTAAAAATGAGATTTTTATATTTTTATAAATCTTATATCTTCATGATACCGATACTAGCAAAACCGAAATTAGGGATCATCTAAAGCCAGTGCGTTCACGTGATCATTATATTTTTTCTAAATCAATAATTTTTTGTCATAAATTTGCAACTATACATTATGTTCGAGACAAACTTCTTCCGGTATTCTAGAAATCTATATTATTTTTTATTAACAATAAAACAATCTTTAATTAACAATTTCATATATATTAACATTGGTATCATCTCATAAATAAATATAAGCAAAAAAAAAAAAAAAATTAATTGATAAAAAAATTAAAATATAAACATATAAAATTAATTTATATCTAATAAATTTCTTGTATCTCGATCTCTTAAACGATCCTCTATTATTCATTCGATACATTTATTAATTTAAACTAATATTTTAATTCAAAACAAATATGTATTACCTGAACTGCTATTACTTTCAACATGTTCAGAAGTTTCATTATCTAACCTATTTGAACCCGCTTATTCATGCAATAAATATATTATAAATGAAAAAGTTAGTACAAAGTTGTTTAAAAAATATAAGAGTAAATTTGCATATACTTGATTGATTTAATCTTCTTTCACTTATGTTTTTTAAACAAGTTTCTAAATATATAGCCTTCTGTTTTAATACAACGATCTGATTCTTGAGTTTGAATTTTGTAAAATCTCTTGAATTAAGATCTTTTTTATGTTGTACTTCAAGTTCTCTAATTCTATTTTCAGCAAAATCTTTTTTACATAACATATCATTAACCTATATAAAATATGCCAATAATAAGAATCTATTATAATACGTTTTTTTTTTTTCAGAATATTAAAAATTACTTTTTTTGCAATTTCACTTCTTTTAGTGCTTAATGCTTTACTAGTTTCTCTTGATATCCTAAGTTCTTCTTCTAATCTTTTGGTCTACATTAGAAAAATTTTATTAATAGTATATTTTATAATAAATAATATTTAAATATTAAAAAAAATGTCTTGGTCTTTGATCTATCAAATTTATTTTGCAAATCTCTTTTGTCTAAATCCATTTTTGTAACCTCTTCGGCCAGCTCTTCGATTTGTGAACTCATTTTTTTATTTTCAGCCACTTCATTTAAATATTGATCATTTAATGTCATAATCTCTTTATTTAATTCTTCAATTTCTTTTCTAAGTTGCAGGTTTTCTTCACATAATCTTTTGATTAAAAAAGGTAACAATAAATATATATAATATAAAATACCTTTTAATTTCCTTAACACTTTCTTTTATCTTGAAAATTACGATAAAATGCAAAAACTGAAGAATTATTCTCATTAGTAAGTTCAAAAATTTTCTTCAAATCTTCAAACAATTCAATTTTATGATTATAGATGCATTCATTTTCATTAGAATCTTTGCGTTTTTGGTTACTGATATCTTTTATAAAATTATCAATTTGATTGATTACGAAGAACTTGGTTATTCTTTCTTGTCGCTTTTCTTTTCTAGATTTTCTATTCACTAATCGTTTGGGAGTTGAGGAGGTACTTGTTATAGTATCTTCGCTATCATCATCTTCGTTCTTTTTATTTTTTTTTGTGTTGGTGGGTTGTTTGTTACATTACAATCATCATCATTATCACTCTCATATTTTCTTTTACTACTTTACTTCGTAAAATTCACGAAGACATTTTTTTTGAGAGTTGGCTACTCAGAATACTTGTGTTGCCTTAAATAAATATTTAATTTGTGCAACTATTTTGAAATAAAATTATCAGCATGGCTATGATATCTCTTACAGATAACAGACAGATTTGACCTCAAAAGAAATCAAATCGCCGAGTTTGGTATCTCTTACTAATACGAGACAAATTTGATTTGTTATCAAATAGCTGAAGTTGGTTATCCTGACACGGATACCTGACAGATCTGATTTGATAGGAATCAAATTGCCGAAGTTATGAATCAAATTTTTCTCTAAGAAATGAATATATAAAGTGAATATCTGGCAGTATAAAAATATAAGTTCGTTCGATAGATAAGAAAAGTAAGGGTTTAATATCACATTATTTATAGTAATTTAATTGAGTGATTGAATTACCTCATAATAAATTAAAATTTTTAGAATATGCTACAAATATTATTTATCTTGATATCATATAAGTAAAGTCAAAAAACCAGTTTTTCTAAAATTTTTATACTAACGCACTTAAAATTAGAATAATTTTTATATTAGTTCCAAATTTGGCAAAATACATAACAATGATTTTTTTATACGTACACTTCATCTTTTGTACTGCCGGAAATTACAGTAGAACAGGTTTTTTGATATTTTGTTAACATTAATTTAAATATATCGATATAGATAAAGTAAATTGTATAAAAATCCTATAATTGAATTGAACTTTAAATTAGAGTGGCTTTTATGTTAGCATTAAATTAGTGCCAAATTTGGCTTGGATATATTCGGAATTATATAATATTAACTTAAAAGCCGGTTATAAAAAATTTATTTGATATCGATATTGTATAATTCAAAATAAATATCTCTTAGTCAATTATCATAACCCACAAACAAAATAAAGTTTACGCAAGAAAGATTATCAGATAATAGTGATTCTAAAGCCTGAAATGTTTATCATTCATGAGATTTCAGCAAGTAAATAACACGCGACGATAGCTGCTGAAGGTGGCTGTTGAATCAAAACGGCATAGGTATTGAATTAAGAAGTTTATTTACTAGTATTGGCAGTAGATTTGAAATATAAAGAAGTAAACCTTCATCAGATATTATGAAGTAAGATATTACATGATACTAACGAATTCACAAATTTTAGAATATTAATAATTATTCTACATACTGTATAAACTTAAATTAGATTATTTTTGATACTTTGATTTCTTTTTAGATTTATCATGTATTATGGTTCTTTAAATTGCATTATGCATTGATTTCTTTATTATAATTAAACTTAAATATGGTATTTTTATTGAATTCCCCTCCTTGATTTGTCTGAAATCTCATGTATGATAAACTTTTCAGACTTAATTTTGCCCGGAATTATATTTTGATTTTTCCTGGAGTTATAGTTTTGCCAGAATTATGCATAATTTAGCCCGGGATTATGCATAAATTTGCTTGAATTTATAATTTGATTTTGCTCAGAATTATATTTAATTTTGCTTAAATTATATTTTAATTTTGCCTAGAGTTATATAAATTTTTCCTGAAGTTATACAATAATTTTGCCCGGAATTATACTTAATTTATTATACTATATTTTTTTATATTTCCATAATATTAAAGTAAAATTTCAAATAAATTAAAATTTTTAGAGTATGCTACAAATATTATTTATCTTGATATCTGATATAAGTAAAGTCAATACTTTTTTCATATGCTTATATGTGAATTGTCAAAACTAATAAATTTATCGATAAACCAGATTATTAATAGTTAGTCTGTTGTGATACTCCACTAAAATAAATTATGTTATGATTTATCAATATAGTAAAAAAAGTAGCTGATTTAATAACGTAGCCATAATCTTGGCGCGAACATGTGATATAACTAATAAGATTAATTTAAATTCGCGAAGTGTCCGTATTAGAGTTTTGTTTTTCTTCAATTATTACTGAAATAACGATGTGTAAGTATATTTAATTTAAATCTTGTCTTGTATTGTTTTAGATTATAATATAATAACATGTATTCATGATATTTAATTATAGATGACCGACCTATGTATATACCTGAAGAAAATTGGTGTTCTTGGTGCGACATGGATAATAAGAATTGTAAATGTTCTTCTGAAAATACTCGTATTTGGTTCAAAGTATCTGATTATTGTAAAAGTTGTTGATGTTTAAATTGTATTGTTATTGTGGTGCTATTGTTAAATGGGGTGGGAAGTTATCGAGTATGAATTTTACAATTGGTGTAAATACTGCGACGAAGTTGGTGAAGAAGATAAACAATATAAGAATCGAGCTAATCATAATTCGTGAGACTGTAAGTATAAACTATCGGAAAAGTTAAGTACTACAGATGAATAGTCGAAATTAACTGAAGAATGGGAAATGAAAAAATCGAATGTTCAATTTGTTCAATAAAAAAGTGGATTAAACGTCATTATAAGGGACAAAAGTGTCCAAAATCTAAAGAACAGATTTGGAATGGTTGGTGGTTGGATAATAATGAATTAGGAAGGAGCATTTTTACTTTATACTGCTAGTATTAGTTATAATCCACATAAGAAGGATAGGATTTTATAAATTACAAAAGTATAATTTACTATGTTTTTTATATAGGAATGAAATCTTTTTTTCTTCTACACTTATAAAAATTTTATATAGTTACAAAAAATAAAATATAAATATCTTCTTATCTACTAAACCAATTTTAATAATTTTTTTATATTATATATAAAAAAGTTTTCTCTATATTTTTTATTAGAAAGATAAAGTATATTAGCATAATAAAAAAAAATAGTTTTCTATAGGGGAAAAGAATATTTCATAATTATAATAAATTTAATAGTAATTTGCGCCTATGAAATACTATCCTTCTTATGTGAATCAGCAATTAAATGCTAAAAACTTAGAACTTCAAGTATACCGCTAATATGCTATATGGGGGTGAGTCAGTAAAAACACATATTTTTTCTAAGTAAATTTTTTAAAACATTAAACAATAATAACTCAACAACAAATAATCAAATTCAATAAAAAAATTTTAATATTTATATGTACCGGCGTTATTTCGAATTTTGGCCTGAATTATGCCTAATTCAGGCCGAAGTTCGAAAATACACCCTGTGCGTTATACGGTATTAACGTTAAGCATCGATGCCAAACTTAGCTTAAAATACCATTGTAATTTTTTATATTACAATAACAACGTAAAACTGGTTCATATTACTTATTTAATACAAATTCATTTGATATCGGTATGTTCTAAAAGTATAAAATTCACGTGATCTATATAAATCCATATCAGATATGATTGTGATTCTAAAGGATTCTAAAGCCTGAAAAGTGAAACATCATGGCAGTTCATCTCGTGCAATATAATTTATTATACTGGGAAGTCTATTGACTAATTAAAGTGTTTATTATCCCATAAATCGACTACGATTATTATATTTTAATATTACAGTATTATCGAAACCGGTTTATGACATATTTTGCTTAAAAAAATTTTATACTAATATATTAGGTTGTAAACTAAAATTTTTAGAATACATAAAAAAAATATCAACTTGTTTATATACTCTAACAACTTAAACCCGGTTCATATAATGAGATCATGATTTTAACAAATTTCTCGTTATCAATGTGCTCGTATTCATAAACTTTTGACAAATATTTTGCGATTCATACAACACGGTCTTAATCTAAATACAGAAAAAATCCGTGGGGTATGTACCGATTTGATCTAGCTCTGAGACGCGTCTGCTCGTTATTTAAAGAAAGTGAGATCTAATAGTCTCGACATCAAATTTGAAACCTTTTCGTAATGAAAAATATCAAAATTCGCAAATTAAACAAAAACTCTACTTTACCACCCGAAGGTTATCAAAAATATCTTCATCATTTTTTGAACCCTACCTCTTAGTTCGAAAATTGATAAAACCTTACCATTTAGTAAACAATCAAAAGAATTTTATGCTTTATTAATAAGTATAAAAGATGCAAACAGATATAATGACGATTTCATATTGGCAGCGCAGAAATTTATTAATGGTATAAAAAATTCATTATTTTTATTTTTAATTGAACTAGCGATGATAATTATATTCTTAAATAATAATAGAGTTACGTAAGAAAATTATTAACAGTTCCAATTCATTAATCGAAGAGCCTTCTTGCCAAACATCAGCTAATCAGCAACAACAAATTAATGACACAACAGAATCTCTGTCTCAGGATCTAGATCAAATTGATTTAGAGATATCGGAAAGCATATTGGTTATTCTAAATAATGAAAATTCAAATTCAAGTTGTCAAACTTCAAGTCAGTCATACTCAATTAATGAAAATTCAAATCAATCAAATAAAGATTTGGATCAAACTCCAAATCAACAACAACAGCAGGCGATTTATATTTGTCATAACAATAATAATCAAACTAATAGAACTAATAATGATAATATAATTAAAAACAACTGGCGTTTATTGCGACTATTGTTGCGCTTACTATAATTTGTGTTTTTACTATTAAGGTAATAAATAACATTATTGAATCAATTAATACATTAATTCATGTTTTTAACGACTTATATTAAATAGAATAATATTGATAATATCAATACCATCTGGCAATATGTAAGTATATGGAGTCTTTGTCTTGAATATCACATAACGTGATTTTCAAGGCAAAGGCCCATATTTAAAAATTTAATCCTATGAAATTGTATTACTAATTAATTTTAATAATCATTATGGTAGACCATAAAAAATCTCAATATTTTAACAATGCTTTATCTGAATCGTGGGTCCGTAAAGAAAATAATTTCTATATTATTAAGAAACCAAATGCAACAAAAGAGGGCATGGATAATATATTACAATACCTTTATTCAAAAAAGCAATATAACTCACAGGGAGTTAAATAATTTATAAACACATTTTCATTAGCTGATGAAATGTGTATAGATGCGTATCTTGATATGTTAAGACAATATTTTGACAAAAACATAGAAATATTATTAAAAAAGGATTTGCTATTAATTCTTAACTTTATTGAAAATCATAATTATATGCAAGAAACAGTAGTAAAAACAATATTAAATAAACCTAAACTATTTTTTTCAGCTGACAAATTTCAAAATATACCTATTCAACATTTAAAATTGGTTATATCAAAGAGTAACTTAAATCTTGAAGAACTTCAAATCCTCAAGAAAGTAATTTTATAGTTAAATGACAATCAGGTTGAATACAATGAAATATTAAAATATGTACGCTTCGATCAAATAACCTATAATGAATTAGAAGGATTGATTTTGAAATTCAAAAATCAAATCAATCTAAAAATATTAAATATTGTATCTGAGAATTATTTAAAAAAAAGTACAATCCAAAATTTTATTCGTTCGTTATGGCAATATAAACATCGACTCAGAGATCATATGTAAAGAACAACTCATAAAGTTAATGCAGTGGATAGATAGAGAAGAAACAACAAATTACAGGTACAAATTTAATTTATTATTTCGAAAAAATTTACGAGACAAGAAATTTCAAGCTAGACAATTTCACAGCAATTGTGATAATAAAGGTGCTACAATCATAATTGGAAAGTTAAAGAATGATAGTTTTATTAGAGGTTATAACCCTTTAGATTGGTCAATAAATAATAATTATTATAATGTTAGTGATAGTCATTTTCATTTTCATGAATGTTTGTACAAAGAAACAGAAGATAGTTTTATATTTAGTAGTAAAGATAAAAATATAATATTAGATAGAGTTAAATCCCTTTGGGATGCAATTTACTATAAAAAAAATGATGGCCCTTCATTTGGTACATCTGAATTATTCATTCAGAACAACCAAAATTGCTGGTCTTATGATTATCATCATTATGAAGGTATTGGACTTAAGAAAGGCATATATGAACTCGATCTCTTCGAAGCATTCCAGGTTATTAAATATAAATAAATATATATTTTCGCCATACTGAAATAGTCTACTAAATGAAATTAGGGCTAAATCACAATCAATAATAATTAATTTAATTTCAATTTTACTCCTTGACAAACAAAATGCATATTTTGAATAAATAAAAATTCAGATTAACTATTGAAATTAGTCTAGATAAAGACGAGATGATTTTACCGATTTCATACTTATAATATTGATAATATTGATTATTGTTATATAGCGATAGTGGGTTTGTGCCAGATCTCAATTTGGTTCACTGCTTTTAACAATGTTAAGAATTATCTTTGTAATGCTACTATTTTCTATTTTTTATTATTTAGTTCAAGTTTTCGCGACCTACGCCGTGTAGTATAGAACCTTGTCAGTAGGTTGGATAGCTAGATATTGGAAAGAACTGGAACCCACATTTAAAAAGTTGCCAAAGTTTGTTAATTCATTTGACTCTTTCATATTTTTGCATTATAAATTTTTTACAGTTAAACTAAAATACTTGTACTCTAAAACTACTGTTGTAGTTATATCAATTTCAAACCATTGTTCATTACCGGTGAGATTTAGATTAACAAAAATTACAATATTTAATAAACAAAAATTAGTTAATTAAAAATTCAATTTAATTAAGAATTTTATTAATTCACTTTAGTTGAAATTTATTTAATTTACATTATAAAAAAATAAATAAGAATGGCAAATGTTTTAAAATTCTAAAAATTCCAACACCAATGCCTCTAATAAATCAATTAGAAAATTTAAGGAAAGTGGCTCATTTATTAAAAATCAATTTAGAAACACCTTTATTTCAAAATGATGAAATAGAAGAAAGAAATGGTTTAATAATGTTATCAAAAGAAAGTGCAGTCCAGGAAGTAAAATATTTTATTAAAACTAGAGTAAAGAAAGCAATTTCAAAAGAATCGCATAATAAAGAAAACAAATAATTGAATGAACAATATACTTCAAATAACATTTTTATAACGATACTTTTAAAAAGATCATCCATAAATCTTTTTGGAACATCAACATCTGATGTTGATTTATGCATTACGACGCCAAGTAGAGAGTTAGAAAACATATCTGCACTGTCTGTGAAGTTGCAAAAATGTGCGCAAAATGTATTTATTAAGGCGGCATCCATAATTATGGATGCCGCCTAATTTGTGAAAAAAATATATTAATACCCTTTGTATATTAAATAGATAATATGAAAATAACTGAATGTGTTACCAATGCTAAAGTTCCTATTGTTAAATTTTTTAGATCCTATGCTGTATGTAACTGTTTACTTCTATGCTATACTTTTATTATTGTTTAACTTATGATAAGGTGGCATTCATAATTTACGTTAAACCAGTATTGTTATTGAGATCTTAAAAGATAATACAAAAATAATACCATCATCAAGTTCCCTATTTCTATACAATACAATACTGGTTTAACGTAAATATAAATTATGGATGCCGCCTAAGGATAAGATTCTTATCGTGTTATAATTTCTAATTACAAATATTTACAGTAATTTAG